AGAGAGGCGCCAGACGTGAGGTCAAACAACGAAACGCCGTCTCTAGAATCGCTCAGTAGGTACACCTGCAGGTCATCGAGACACGCATCGAACTCAATCGGACGGCCCTCAAAATCGAACGCGAGGACGCTGAGAGTAGCCATTGCGGGCAGAGCAGGGTGGCGCACGAGCAGCAGGGCAGCATGCAAGCTCTAGGGGCGCGCGCAGGGCAGGGCGAGGTGGCGCACGGCTAGGGCAGGGCAGCGCAACTGGCAGGGCAGGGCGGCGCGCAGGCAGGGCAGGGCAGGGCGGCGGCCAGCAGGGCGGCGCGCAGGCAGGGCAGGGCCGGGCGGCGGCCAGCAGGGCAGGGTGGCGCGGCGGTGAGCGGCGTGCGGGCAGGGCAGGGCTGCGCGGCGGCGAGCGGCGCGCGGGCAGGGCAGGGCGGCGCAGAGGCGAGCGGCGCGCGGGCAGGGCAAGGCAGGGCGTGCGCGGGCGGCGTGACGCAGGGCAAGGCGCGCGCGGGCGGCGCAACGAGGGGCAGGGCAGGGCAGCGCGGCACTAGCAAGGCGGCTCAACACGCAGGGCAGGGCAGCGCGAGGCCAGCAGGGCGGCGCGACGGGTGGGGTAGCGCGATACGGGCAGCGAGCTAGACGGTGGGCCCTAAAAAAAAAACGGTCCTAGGAGAGGACCTGCTATGAAACCATGTCAACAGACTAAGCGAGAATGAAATGAACTAGAATCAAGGTGGGTACAAGTACTAACCCTCATTGGGTTGTACCCCATATGGGCTACCCCACTATAGCCTACACAACACACAAAAAAACAGTTTGACACAGATGGTGTCGGATGCCGTTCCTCTTGAGAAACTTGGTGAATTCCGCTCCAAGGAACTCTCCACCACGGCCACTCCTCAGCACCTTCACCAACCACATCGCTTGCCCCTCCACTATCGGCAACCAATCCTCCTTGATTGCCGCTACAGCGTCGCTCTTCTTGGACAAGGGACGAGCCCTTGTGAATCTGCTCCATTAATCCACCATGGTGAGGAAGCACAACACTCCCCCAGCCCCCTCCGTCCTCATAGGACCCACCAGGTCCATGTGCACCACCTCCAACGGTGCCTTGGCTGATCCCTCCGCACGTGGAAACGGGAACTGCGCAAACTTGTTTTGCATGTATGCCTCGCAGCTGCCAAAGGGAGCGCCAACTCCATGCAGTTGCAGGCAATGCACGCACTTCTTCTTGTGCATCACCTCCAATGTAGAAACAGCCACGTGTGCGAGTCGCCGATGCCAAGTCTCCCAATTTGCTTAGACCGAGGTAGCTGACACCTTCACCGCCGCGCTTCCTCCAATCAGCTCGTCTCCTTGCACACCTTGTTGCTCCTTCTTAGTGACGCTCTCCTCCATAGATGCCGCTGTTGCCGCCTTGCCCGGTTTCTGCCAAGGGAGGACCGGAATCTGCCACATACGCTTGTGGACATCTCCCTTCCGCTGGAGGTCCCAAATACGCTGCTCGTCATTGTAGGCACGACAGCGCTCCGAGCCAATCGTCTCGATTTTCACACCCGCATCTCCTAACCGGCCGGTAGAAATCAGGTTCGCACACAAGTCCGGCACCCACAGAACGTTCTTCAGCCTCACGAGCTCTTCATCCGCTCCCAAGAACTTGGCGCATCTCATGCCCATGACCTTGGCCTTGGCGCCCGTCGCGGATGTGACCGTAGAGATGGGTGCGGGCTGAATCTCATCGAGTAGGTCCGCACGAGGAGTCATGTGCCAGGAGCTCCCCAAGTCAATCTCCCAATGGGGTGAGGGGATGAAGAAGAACCTTGACAATTATGGCGAGCCCGTATCTCATCCAACACGGGCTGCATCGGCTCTCCATCAACGAACTTGATGTCTCGCAACCGCCGCGCGAGTAGCACGATGCCGGTAGCGTGTGTCGGTGAGTGCACATCCAGAAGCTTCCTCCAAGCGTTGGGGCCACACTCTGGATCACCCAAGAGGTCTTTGATGTGGTCAAGTTATCGTCCGCCAACCGCTTGCACCATAAGCATGTACGCGTCGAATGACCGCTTCATCCACGCTCCTTTCAGCTCCGTGGCGTCCGGCATCTTCTCCTTCCCCTCCATCAGATTCAATAGCTTGTATTGGGTGTACATCAGCCTCATGCGGAAGCTCCAGTGGTCGTAGTCCTCCTCCATGAACTTCTCAATAGAGAACGCCTTCATAGGATCCACGGTTGTAGGAGATGGTGTAGAAGTTGAGGGGAGGGGGGTGGGAGAGGCAACTTGGAAGGTGAGGGGTGTCAAATGTTATATCTGCTACTGTTTGTTTAGGCTGTAGTGGGGTAGTTATTATGGGGTGCAGTAAGTTTAGGGTTTCCTACTTGTACCCAACCCTTTCCTAGTGCAATCACTTCTCTCTCATTCTGACATGGTATTTGTTGGAAACAACTAATTCTAAGCGCCTCTGTCGTGTCGAAACGCCAAGGCACAAGCGAAGCACAACATATCACAGCATCAGCGAGTCAACCCTCGGAGGTTGAGCAACTGCTGGAGGTTACGCGAAAGTCAAAGGTCAGCCACCTTTGACCTGACAAGTACAGCGCGACAGCAAGGACACACAACTGACTCGCTACAGAGCAGTTGCCCGAGTCGTCACTGTATCGAACCGCAACAGCAACAGTAAAGTAGTTATAACTGTACCCATTCGTATTCCTTGTACTCTTATATAATCCTGTATCTCCTTGCTTTAATCAATCAACTTTGCCCTCACATACTAGCGCAAGGTGGTTCACAACTCTTCATTAAACGCTTCCGCTACCACATCAGTTACACCCAGAGTTCACCCCTGCAAAGATCCTAAGGGCTCTTTCTTAGCCCAACATGGTATGAGAGCTATCAGGGGGAATTCAACTATCAAAACACCTACAACATCAGAAGACATGGCTACTCAGAAGGAAAGGAGTTCCTCCATTGGTTCTCCCGGCACTACTCCTACTCCACCTCCTGCCTCTGGTCTACAGACAGAGGAGGGTACGGCAACAAGACCCAGGGCAACATCCACCGAGACTCCTGCGAATCAACCTGCAGGCTTCGACCAGAGCATGATGGAGAAGTTTTTCTCCTTCATGTCCTTCTACGAGCAACACCAGCAATCGGTACCTGCGCAGTCACACAACAGCAACAACAACAACGACGTGACTCCAATGAGCCTTGACGGTTCATCCTACGCACGTGGAAACCAGCAGCAGCAACCTATCTTTGCTCCGTACGAGCCCCAGCGCGGCTCCGTCAGCTTTATGCCACAACCGCAGCCTGCACCTGGACAGGAGAAACCACTGGACGCACTTCAAGTTCAGTCGCAGTTCGCGCACGTTTTAAAACTTCAGACGTCAAGGCCTTTCGACGGAAAGGACTTCTTCACCTGGTCGTTCGAGTTCGAGTTAATGATGGAAGGCGCGCAGATTCTTGGCTTCTTCGACGGATCCCTGCCATACCCAACAAACGGCACACAGTACGAGAAGCAGCAGTACACCTATCAGTCAATGATGGCGTATACGATTCTACTGAGGAACATCACCCCGAACCAGCAGCAGAATATACGGTCTTACTGGGGATACGGCAACTCCGCCGAACTCGCATACAGCCACTTGAAGAACCTGTACCAAGCAATAGACAGCGTTAATCAGAGTCGGCTAATGGCACAGTTGACAACAATGGAAATTAAACCAGGCGAAAACGGAATAGCGTATATCAGCCGCTGTCGCGAGTTGCGGGACAAACTCCTTCGACGCGGAGGGTCGATATCTGAAGACGCCTTCGTAACAGTCATCATCGGCGGCCTCGGTCCTCAATGGCGCGCCACAAAAGCCATTCTCCGAGCTCACGAAAGAATCTCCGAAGCAGCACTCTGCGCCGAAATTCACGCCGAGCAACAAGACATGGACCTGCAAGAGGAACGGCACAAGAAGAAAGCATCAGCACTGGAATTCGCCTTCCACACTCAGCGACGCTACAACAACAACAACAACAACCGACAACAACCAAAGCCTGTACCTCCGTTCTGCCACATCTGCAATACGTCAGGGAACCCACGCACACACTGCCCGAATCGACAACAGTCAACTCCACCGCAACGGCAGCTTCGACCCTCAAGCAGCCAAGTGGCATCGACGCAGGCGAACCCCACGAGTCAGTCGCAACCTTCAACAACACAATCTGCACAAGGAGCAAGAAACATCGTCAGCTGCATGGCAAAATTGACCGATTCCTGCATCACCGAGTCACCGCCACACTACTCACCGGAAGAACAACTTGACAACACCACACCTCGCCGCGAGTCACTTCAACCGAATCCAACGTACGCAGCCATCGCCCAGAGCGAGCCATCTGGGAAAGACACCTGGTTCTTGGACAGTTGCTGCGGACAGCACATGTGCTCTTCAGGACGCTACGTGCAGCAAGAGTACCAACTCCAACGCGAAGTAGTCATCACCGTCGCCAACAACCAGAACCTGCGCACACGACGAAAAGGCGTGGTTCAACTTCAGTCAAGAGAGACAAACGTTATACAACAGATGTCAAAGGTATTAATCGCGGAGGGACTCGGCTACAACTTACTGAGCGTCAGCCAGTTGATGGCAAAAGGTATTCACCTCGAAGCAGACAGCACCACCCAGGAGTTCAAGTTGTACCACGGGAGAGGAGGTCTCTACATCGGCAAGGCAGTCTTGAAGAACAATGTCTTCGTTCTCGACTTCGTTCCAGACCTCGGCACCGCTGACAGCGACGGTATCGTCACCTTCACTTCTTGGACACATCCACCGGATCTTGACCCAGACTTAAGCCCCACCTGCTCCCTCTGCCTGCCTCCTACCTTCGTCCCAGAGTGTGAGAGGTTAGGGGCTAGGGAAGTAGTGCTGCTCCTAAGCCCCGTCCCATCTTTAACCCTTTTCCCTATGCCAATGCCATCCTCATTCATTGCTCACACCACCAGGTGCTTCTACACCCGATCATGCCGGCTGCGCTGCGCCGGCTCTCCTCCGACCCGGCCAACACGATCGTCATAATAAGCGGGTCGGAGTGTGCCGTGCTGGACGAGGCGTTCAGCGAGTATGACGTGTGGCTGGCGGCTGAGAACGGCATGTTCATGCAGCACACATGGGGCGAGTGGATGACCACCATGCCCGAGCATCTTAACATGGACTGGCTGGACTCTGTTCAGGTGAGGAGGGAGGGAGGAGCAGTGAGAGGGAGGGGGTGCGTGCAGATGACCAGTGGATGGATAGGTGCTGTCGTGGTTGGCGCCTCAACACGTCATGGGCGAATGGACGACCACCACGCCCATCACCTTAGTATGGACTGGCTTTACTCGGTGCAGGTGTGTTAGGGGTATGGGAGGTGAGAGTTTGAGAGGGGCGGGTGAGAGGAGAGGAGAGTGAGACCACTTTGTTGGGGTTTAGGTGCAACCAACATCTCCCTTCCCATCACGCCCCTTCCTTTCCCACCCTCCATCCCTCTCCCTCTCCCTCTCCCTGTCCCTCTCCCCATCACCCACACCCAATTGGTGTTTGAGTATTTCACAGAGTGCGCACCAAGGTCATACATAAAGGAGAGGGTGACCTCGCTGGTGTGGAAAGACAATTCTTCCTGCATCCTCACCATCCCCCCCCCACCCCTTCCTCCCCTTCCACCCCCTTCCGTTTCCCTATAATCTTCCTGCCAGCTGGTGTTTGAGTGTTTTGCGGAGCGCACGCCGTGATCATGCGTGGAGGAGAGGGAGACCTTGCTGGTGCTACAGTGTTCAGAGTCCAACCCGCATCCTCCTCCCCATCACACCCTTCCCTTTTCCCCTCTCCCCTCCTTCCCCTCTCCCCGCCAGTTGGTGTTTGAGTATTTCACGGAGCGCACGCCGCGGTCGTACGTGGAGGAGGGGGAGACCTCTCTGGTGTGGAACTACAAGTATGCCGACGTGGAGTTTGGCCGTGTGCAGGTCAGAGACATGCTGCAGCACCTGTGGACGGGACCGATTTCAAACACTGCAGTGGACGTGGTGCAAGCAAGACTGGATGCACCTCCTCCAGCAGGTGGTGCTGTTTCTCATGCACGTGCAGACTAGGTCACTAGGGACATGCTGCAGCACGGCACGTGGAGGAGAGGGAGACGTCGCTGGTGTGGAACGACAAGTATGCCGACGTGGAGTTGGGCCGCATGCAAGCGAGGGACATGCTGCAGCACCTGTGAACAGGACCCATCTCGAACACAGCTGTGGACGTGGTGCAGGTATGACCTCTGCCTGGTGCAGGTGATGTCTCATGCAGGTACTGTCTCGTGCAGGCCCGCGACATGCTGCAGCACCTGTGGACGGGTCTGATTTCGAACTCGGCAGTGGATGTGGTGCAGGTAAGATCTCTTCCTGGTGCAGGGACTATGAGTCTACTCAGATGTACGTGTACAGGCCAGGGACATACTGCAGCACCTGTGGACGGGTCTGATTTCGAACTCGGCAGTGGATGTGGTGCAGGTACGACCTGGCGTGCAGGTGCTGCGGGGTGCAGGTGCTGGCATGCAGGAACCTATAAGACCCCCTCACTCACCTGCACCTTGCACCCTCAACCCATGCATCCCTCCGTCGTACACAAAGCGCCCCCCTCTCCGTCACAGATGCTGTGCTTCACCCCTCTCTAATCCCACTTGTCCCCCTTTCCTATCGACACATTTCTAATGTCAGCTCGACTCACTGGCATGCTTTCCTGCTCACCCTCTCCCACTCACTCCCCTTCTCTCCCGCAGGGTGGCAAGTCAGTGGAGGTGCGGCCGGTGGGGGTGAGTAAGGGAGCATCTCATGGAGAGGATGTTGGGGGGGATAGTTGGATTCACTAAGTTCTGTGCCCCCCCCCCCCCCCCCCCCCCCCCCCCCCGTTCCCTGTCCCGGTTGAGTCGACTCAAGAGCATGTTTTGCCGCCTTGCCTTTTTCCCTTCCTTGGCCGCCAACCCCTCACAGCGCGGCAAGCCAGTGGAGGTGCGACCAGTGGGGGTGAGTAAAGGAGCATCTTATGGAGAGGATGTTGGGGGGGATAGTTGGATTCACTAAGTTCTGTGCCCCCCCGTTCCCTGTCCCGGTTGAGTCGACTCAAGAGCATGTTTTGCCGCCTTGCCTTTTTCCCTTCCTTGGCCGCCAACCCCTCACAGGGCGGCAAGTCAGTGGAGGTGCGTTTAGTTGGGGTGAGCAAGGGAGCGGCGATGGAGAGGGTGTTGAGCGAAATAGTTTGATTAATTTACCCCGGACTCATTAACATGCTTTGCTCCTCACCCTTTCCCCCATTGCCCACCCGCTCTCCCCCTCTCTCAGGGTGGCAAGTCAGTGGAGGTGCGGCCGGTGGGGGTGAGCAAGGGGGCAGCCATGGAGAGGGTGTTGGGGGAGATAGTGTGATTTGTTCAACCCCTCTCTCTCCCTCTCGTTGTCCGTCTCTGTGCAGTCAACTCAATAGCATGCTATGCCCCTCGCCCTTTCCCCCTTTGCTCACCTGCTCTCCGCCTTGCAGGGTGGCAAGTCAGTGGAGGTGCGGCCAGTGGGGGTGAGCAAGGGAGCAGCGATGGAGATGGTGTTGGGGGAGATAGTGCACCAGAAGCCGCTCCCCTGCCCCTTTGACTTCGTCATGACCGTCGGCCACTTAATCTCACGGGTGAGGCGCCTGCATGCAGCTGCAAGTTTACCCTGCATGGATGAGTCGAGTGCGCCCAGAGATAAGCTTCCGCTTTATGACACAGTCAGCTGCACTGCCCGCTGTGATGGGTGGGACGTGTCTGCTGCAAGCTTTCAACTGCTGCCCCCATCCGCATGTGCTGCTGCCAACCACACAGGACAAGGACAAAAACCAGTTCTGTGCACCAGATCTGTTTTTCTATTCATCTTAAACCCCCTGGTCTACCCCCTTCCTCCCGCCCGCGCCCGCACAGGACGAGGACATGTACCAGCTCTTAAAACCAGACTCTAATTCCATTCCCCTCAAACCCTCTGCTCTCTCTCCCCCGCGTCCCTCTCCCCCGCTTTTCCATTCCCCGCCCCGCCAACAGGACGAGGACATATACCAGTTCTTTGAGCCAGACCTGCTGCACGACAACAACATGCCCCCCGGCATGGACGGTTACCAGCAGAGCATGGACGGAACCCCCTTACCTCCCTTCCTCTCACCCCTCATCTCCCCCCCAACCAACAGGACGAGGACATATACCAGTTCTTTGAGCCAGACTTGCCGCACGACAACATCAACAACATGCCGCCTGGCATGGACGGTTACCAGCAGAGCATGGATGGCACCATGGATCCCATGGATGGTAACTGCGGTGTATCCATGGATGGTAACATGGTAACCCTGGGCCATGGACCCTTGGACGGGGCAGCCATGGATCAAGTCACACGGGATTATATCACGGCTCTTGAGCATGCTGATTCATACCTACCAGCGTATTACACTACCAGCCCTACCACCACGTTCGATACAAGCACCACCGCTACAAGCACCCTCACCGCTCCGCACGATTGCTCCAATCCCCCTCCTAACACCAAGCCTCCGCCGGGCCTGCCTCCCGCACCTCTTCCGAGTGTCCCCGGACCTGACAGCCTAGGCTCGGCCCCTCTGCCTATGTTTGCCGGACCAGGATACGGCAGCCCCATGCCTCAGTCTGCAGCTCGAGGGGGAGGTTCGGGTCCACTGGTGGCTCGGGTGATTTTTGGGGATTCGCAGAGCAGAAGCCAAATGGAAGGGGGTGGAAGACATGCGGGGAGGGATGGTGCTGCTGCCACCACTGCTGCTCCTGCTGCCGCCGCCGCCGCCGCTGCTGCTACCTCAGCAGCTGCTGGTGCTTCGGTTGCTTCTGGTCCCAGCTCTCCCTCTCCTTCTTTCTCTGCCGCTGCCGCTGCTGCTAATGCTGCCGCTGCTGCGCTCTCTGACAGCTCTACACGGCCACGCACTCCAGACTCTGTCACAGCACGCAGCAGCCGGCTTAAGGTGGAGTCCCGAGGGGGGGGCGGGGGCTCCGATGGAGATGCAGCAGTAGGGTCGGAAGGAAGAGGTGCACCAGCCGGAGCAGGCGCAAGTGGGGTGGGGGGGAGTAGCAGTGGGAGGAGCCGAGGGAGCGGGCTGGGAGGGTTCCGATGGAAAGGGAGCAAGAAGTCTGAAAAAGAAATCTGCCTTTTCCTTCTCCTCGCCGTCGCAGGTCAGTCTGCTTGGGTCAGCTTTGGAAGGTGCCACGGGCAGCCCGAGAAAAACCGGGATGGGCCGAAGCAGCAGTGGCGGGCGGGGGGAGGCGGAGCTATGTTCCCCAGCTGCAAGCAATGCTGCTGGGACTCAGGGAGTGGGGAACGGGAGTGGAAAGCGAGAGGAAGCAAATGGAGGGGAGGCGGGAGAGAGATTGCTTGCGCCGATCACTGGGTTTTCCAACCTGTCGAGCTTTTCAAGTCGTTTTGGGACGACTGGCGTTTAGGACGAGTCAGAGTTTTCCACACAGGAGAGCTCGTCAATGCTTCCAACTGTTTTCGACTCAGAAGAGGATGGGCATGGGGAGGAAATAAGCCATCGCAGCAGTGGGGAGTATTGCTTGATTGTCGATCTCAACGCCGATTCGTACTTTTCGTGTGCTGTGGAGCACAAGCGGTCTTTGGCTCGATACTCGCTTGCAACCACTGATGATGTGGTCACCATGCTGAAGGCGATCTAAGATAGCTATGGCCTTAGCCCTGGATTTCGGACAACTTAGCTTTATTTCTTAGGTTGCCAGTGCGCTAGCGTATGCTGAACGTGTTCAAATCATTTTTCTGTGCGGGGCCCTTGTAACGAGCGATTCAGCTCGGGCTTCTATCAAGGACAGCCATTTTCCGAATATGGCGCTTTCGCAAGAAGTTTCTCCAACACGAAAAGCTTCGCAGCGAAGCCAGAAGCTCAAGCCGTTTTTCGCAGAATCGCATAAGTCAAGTACCCCTCTGATTGGAGCAATCGGAGCCGTTGAGGGACTAGCATCCACACGAAGAAGGCATTCGACATTGCAAATTTCTCGCGAAAGCACGCCTCACCGACACCTTCCCCACCAACATTTCCTCGTTTCAGTGCTGGAATAGCAATCCCCCCAGGCAAACCCCCTCAGTTGTAATGAGCAAGTCTGGTGGTAATTTCAGCCTCCCTTTCCACGACTTGTTGCCTTGCTGGCATAACTTCTTTTCCGTCGTATCTACCTTCCCACAACGAAAAGAACCATGGCGCTAGGATGGATACTTTGTACTTATAATGGCGTACGTGGTTCCTACTTGGTACCTAAACCAACACGCAGCGACTTTCTGAAACAACTAGAGCCGTCACCAGCATCTCTGTTTGTGCACGCTTTTCAACAAACGCTTTCCTAGCAGCTCGAAATACGACAATCTAATCTTCGACGATGGTGCGTGTTAGCAAGGCTGTGGTATTTCTCACGCTCCTAGGCCTCTTCGCATCAGGTAAGACTCCAACGGCGAGGCCAACCTTTTCTTGCATCCCATATGTGTCATGCTCAGCACGACGCGACCACGTGGAGGATGATTCATTTTTTCTTTTTCTAAGCTGTCGTGAGTATGCTCATCTCTTCTCTCGTTTCAGGGGTTCTCGCCCAGGGACCCGGCTATGGCGGCGGCAGGGGTGGCGGAGGGCGCGGTGGACGGGGATTTGGCGGGGGACGCGGAGGTGGTGGCAGGGGCGGCGGGCTCGGACGGGGGCCTGGTGGGGGCCTCGGGCTGGGCCCTGGCGCCGCTCTGGGCACGTTCTACGGCCACGTGGAGGCTGATCTGGCGGGCAATGGCAACATCACTGGACGCATGCACGTTGTTGTCTTCAAGTGAGTGCCATTTACGAGCATACTCCAGGCGTAGTACTATGCTTACAATGAAGCACTTCTCGTTCCTTGATTTCTTCGTTCTTGTGCGCTTTTCAACGTGTCATTCGTGCTTCCAATTCGTGCTTTTGATGTGTTGGTCAGGAACAACACCGACTACAATGTCCGTTACGTGCTGAGGATTGGCGGCCTGCCAACCCCAGGTCTTCCTACCGCTGCCGCCGTCCTGAATAGTAACGGCGACGCTGTCTTTGATTTCCCCGATGCCACGTGGACCAACACCACTGGCCAGCAGCCTTATGGCTACGGCTGGAGGAGGCGCAACCGCGCATGGGTCTTTGGTGTGTGTTTCCGTTACAATGCGACCGGGGTTTATTACAACGCGAACACAAAGACTACTGATGGCGGCAAGACTATTGGGTCTATTGCTGTGGCCATGGTTGCCGCTCCTGCAGCTTATAGTGGCCGCATCACTGCTCCTGGTGACGTTGCTTCTGGCAAGTTCCACACCTGGCGTTAGAGATTTGCACGTGGAATGGGTGAGTTAGGGATGTATTGCTGTAACTCTACAAAATGTGGGGCCACAACAACCATGCACGAAACCCGCTTTGCCCCACCCATGCCCGGCGGCAATTGCCGAAGCAATGTACAAACACTCAAAATACAGTGGTAGGCAAGGATGTTCAATTCTCAAACATTGCACTCACATTGCATGGTACCTGTCTTCGCCCTTGCACATTGTATCCTACCCCTTCCACATTGTGTCCCCGTAGCCGCTAGCTGTTCGCATACAACCCGCCCCGCACGTGCCAAATTGGGCTGGTACAGCGAATTACTTCGGTTGTGTTGGGTGTACAGTGGTGTCCAACTTGCATGAATCTGAGTCTGAATTCGCATCGACGGAAATTTAGTGGCGTTATAACATGACTGACTACAGCGACATTGGATAAGGTGTTGCTGACGCGTCAGAAACCAGCGTCACTTTTGAAGGTGCGCTGTCAAAATTAGATGTGACAGCGCTGATGTGGTTTGGATTAGTGTGGCGAACAGAAACCAAGACATTATAGGGTTTCCATCTCGCCAGTTTCGTCAAGGTACCTGTGAACCCACAGTAGCGAAAACTTCAGACCACACCAGGTTTGAATAATCACTCAAACCATTTCGTCCAATTTTCGCCCAAGCGAAAACGAGGGCTTTTGGTGTGTGATGCTCCTCTCCCGCTCCTTCAAACTTCATCCACAGCTCAACACCCGTTCATTTTCACATCTCACGGTTTCCGTCTACCGTTTCATACACTCGATCAGCTTCTGCGGTGCTCTTCCTGCTCCTACCTCTCCTTCACTGCGTCATAAACACGACTCAAATATGTGTGTCAATTTCTGTTCTTACATCCTCCCTCTTGCAGCTACGGAAAGACTGCTGTGGCGGACGGTTTCTGCTGCGAAATTTTACCGGCTGCACGAAGCTCGAGATTAGGATACCTTCTCACGCCTTCCTCCCACTGGTAAGTTCATGATCAACTCAGGTGAGTTTCGTTTTCAGCCAAATACGCATTGTCTACTGCGCGACCTTGTTTGTACATATTTTCTTTTGCAGAATACCAGCGCGCTTGACAGCGCTCTACATCAGCGACTTCCGAGATTATCGCCAAGCGAAATTTATTGCCAAGTTGATATTCTCCTGAAATTTTATCACCGAGCTTATCACGGTTCCTAGAGGAGTTTCATGGGATGCTGTTCCGAGCATGTCAATGGCATCCATGATCGATAGGTTCATGTGTGGTGTTTTTAAGTCGTCCGTTTTATGGTACATGTCCTCTCTCTGTGTTCTAACTCTGGTGGTGTTCTGCAGAGCCCTCGTTGCGCCCGGAATAAGTTGTAACCGGTAGTTCATGCATTTTATGTACCTGTGTGTGGATCATCATGAACGCGGGTATATAAATAGGATGTTAGGTCTTGTAGCTATTGATAAGGCGGATCGGGTATTGTGATCATTGCTGTAAGGTTGAGTTGAATTGTAACTTTGGGATTACTAATTTCCAGCAGAGGATTCATTTCATAAGTGTCAAGTTGCTATTTGCCTGAAACCTAGTGTGTGAACTGCGTTTTGTATTCTGCATTTTCCAATTGTTTGTATTCAATCATACTGAGATCCGTGTACTGTGATGATTGATCCGTTAAAAAGTTCCCTTATATGACGATTTTCCAGTTGCTTTAGTGAGGATGAGCAATGTTGGGTGTATGCTGGTGCACTCCTTGCCGAGCCTACTCAAGATTGCTCAGGCAAACGTTTCAATGATTCCTCTAACAAACCTGCACTGTTGAGCATTCATCATGATAAACCACAAGCATTGATGGCAGGGGAAAACCTCAAACAATCCCCGAAGAGTCATTTTGCATTCTTTTTCCTTCCCAGATTTTGTAGAGAAGTTTCGCACCTTTTCGCCAGTCAGATGCTAAGCCTGGAGTGGGTGCGAAACTTATTGCATTTATCTTTAGTTGATGCGTGTGGACTTCGTGTCCAGCGGATATTTAGCAGGAAAATTATTTGTGTTTGTGCTTGCAGTGTTAGCAACATTTTCTTCCTATACGGTAAATGTGTAACGAGCGTTTCAATCGTGAATGCTCGGCAACAGCCCAACGAAAACAAAAAGGGTCGAACCATCCAATGCAAACCAGCCAGCTGGGCGGAACAAGCACTGCCACTGGCACACTGCACGTTCGTGCCTGAAGTCGGATTCCATATCCACACGCAGCACATTGCCGCATATGCTTCCACCCCAAACTGTTTTGGCTGCACATCGCACCACATTGTCAGCTTCCTCTATTGCGGTAACCATGCATCGCAAAGTCGTCGTTAGAGCGTGTCTGAAGTAAAACGTCGACGAATGTACAGTTTCGTCGAGGAATGTCGGCGAATGCCAACCCTCGGATCGAGTGTTCAGACCGTCAGGATTCCTCGACATCCCTCAAAGTTTCGTCGGGAAACGTCGACGTTCACTTCAGACACGCTCTTAGGGCGTGTCCAGCGCGTACATTTACCGTTCATTAATCCCTTCAGTTACCACATTTTGAGTTGTAACACTGCATTTTACAGAAAGTGTGGACACGACCGACTTTTGTACACGAGACGGCACGCCAGCTGCACGTACCTCGAGTCGTGTGACTCACGTAGCTGCATACAACGTTTGCTTGAACTCGGGTACAGCATCGCGTCCAACTAGCTACAGTAAGTTCCCTTTGTATTGCTCGTACGATTTCGCCAGTGCCGCTCGACACTCGCCGAAACCCCCTGCGCGCTGGCGAAAATGCCAACCCTACTCTTCACGAGGGAAACGGTTACCTCGGTTTCCAGGCTGTGTTGGCACTGTTGAAGTTTGTGTGGGGAGGAATGTGTCCGCGCGCTAGAAACTCGAGGAACTATGGACTCGGCTCAAAGGACATTCGTTTTTAGGTACAGTGATCGGTTTTGTGCCCCGACACGTGTGTGGGCACTAAAATTCCCAAAATGAACGCGCTGGACACCCCCTTAGACTCGTTATCGCTCGTGAGCTTTAAATCTGTCGCTGACCGGCAAATGTCTGGTTGCACTTGTAACATGCCAGCGAGGCCTACAAACCGTCAAGGATAATAAACTGGCCACGGCAAAATTCACGGTTGCCAGTCAAACTATTACAAGGACGGTGGGGCGGTTCTTCCTTATCATAAAAAAGCCAATGCACTTGTCAACTATCATGGGCGCTGCCAGCTGTGCGGCAGACGCGCCTGTGGGAAGACTGGTGGTGGCGGCGCCTCAGCGCCTACGACTCGCACACAGGAAAACGCCAGGCGCCGACAATAGTATGGGAGCAAGCCTCTGACTGGTTATGGCGCGTTTGCGAGTTCCGGAGCTGCTGCCGCATGTTAAAAAGCGGCAACCACGCTGTCGATGGCGGAAAGCGGGTGTCCAGCGAATTTAGCATCCCCGATTCGATCATTTGAGCGTCACTCAATTGCTTTCGTTGCTTATCTGCCCTACCGAGCTGATTGACTGTTAGAGAAGAAGAACCATCATGAGGCTGCACACACCTTGTTTCGCCGTCTGGTTGTTGCTATTCGTCTACGCATCCATAGCAGGTGAGGACCAATCCGACGTCTGAAATAGAAGGTAATTCCCCGGAGTTTTCGTAGCTATCCACCATATCCTTAGCTGCGAGTTTTAATGACCTGGCATTGACTTCGCCAATGAATTCTGTGTCCTTACAGAGGGCGTACGCGTGCTGGACGATGCCGCTGCTCAGCTAAGTGATTCTTAGAAACCGACAGAATCTATCAACGTAGGCAATTCGGCAGCACGACCGATGCCGGCCCGACTAAGAGATTCACATGTGTGAGAGTACGACGACTTATGCTGGCTTTGCTAGCTTCCCTATACTTTCTTATTCTATTACTAGCTTGGGTTTTATTTATCATGCATAGATATGCTTGATTTCCTAGGTTAGGTGCATTCCTTTATGTTATTATAGTTATAGCACCGAACCAGGTTACGTGTACCGAACTCAAGCCTATTTGGTTTCCACCAAATTGCTTTATACTGAGTTCGGGAAGGTTCTGTTCGGGACGCTTCGCGATCCTCAGAACATTCGCGTAACACCTGGGTAACTGGCCTTGTGTCGAGACTATATAATTAGCCTCGTGTTGTACCCAGGGCTGCGTTCTGTGGGCGCATCAGCTCTGATGCGTCTGAGGATCGGGCTGATGCGCACATTGAGAAATTGAGGTTCGGACGAGGTTCGGACGAGGTTCCCGAAATCTCCTATTTCCAATTTTTCGAACCTCGAATTTGGACATGTCAGATCTCGATATCCAATTTCCTCTAATTTCCGAAATTCTATGGGTTTCTAGGAAGTTAGACCGCAAATTTTTTAATGGTGCCAACCAATGAGGCTTTAGAAGAAACAAATTGACGAATGAGGGTGCTCCGCACCAGCAGATGCGCGCATCATGCGACTTCTCGGAGTTGCATGATGCGCGCACCAATGATGCGCCAGATTGCTAGGACGAGAAATTTCTCGTAAATCGGCAACATGTTAAATTCTGGTCGCCGAAAAGGCCGTTCTGCAGGCATTCGGATTTGTTTCGCTTCGGCAGCCATGCGCTTATCGCGAACCTTGATAACCTGTCGGCAGGTTATCACGAAAGTATCTTGGAACCGTGATGGAATGCATCAATGTACATTGATGCAGGCTGATGCGCCCACAGAACGCAGCCCAATTATATACACACGGGTGACGTCATCACATGCCGCCCCGCCCGCCCTAGCACAAAGGGAATTGAGGCAAAACGAAAAACCCGCGGAATCCCTCCGGGCCCCCAGAAATTCCCGGCTGACCAGACCCAAAAACCCTTCGAAACCCGCGGGTTCAATGTCGTATTCTTATGATAATATATATGTCAGCCGTAACAGTAGAAATTGAAGGAGCTCGACGGGAGACAACTCGATATACCATTGTAGAATTAAAAAGAAAGTGTTTCGTAACTC